AATGTATAATGCTAAATAACACCGTCTTCTCGCTGCTCTCATCCAGTCGGGGGCGGGGAAACGCGGCCAGTAAAAGTAAACAAACAGGTGAGCAGCTAGTTACCAGCTTGTATCTGTTATTATTAAATACAAGAGGGAATTTTGCCAATTCTTGAATATTGCTTACAATTTGGATTGTCTTTTTGAATCGTTTTTATATTATAAATATATATATATTCTTTTTTTTGGCATTATTATAACGATTATCTATCCTACTTTATAATCACTATCATTCTTATCATTATCACTGCCTTAAATAGCATTATCATTATAACTACGTATGTTATTATTATTGTCATTAGCATTATCACCATCATTATACTTTTTATTATTACTTTTACTATTATGACGATTGTTATTATCATAATCCTTTTCCTTATTATTAGCATACTTATCATCATTACTATCATCACTGACGTTATTGTTACTTATTCATTTCATATAAAATATTGACTTTGTTTTTATTATTACTGTCATCATTATCGTAATCATCATTGTTGTTACCATCATTATCATTATTTCTATTATCATTATCATTATTATCATAATTGCCATAATTGATATTATTCCAATCATTATCATTATATAATATCATGATCATTTATTAGTTATTATTATCATATTATCATTATTATTCAGTTCATATCCGTCTATACATCAATTATCTTATTATCGTTCATCAACTATCATTAATGAATCGAGATTTATGTTTTCTTAACTATATTATTATTATTATTATCATCATCAGCAGTTATCACACGCGTCATAATAATCACTATTATCATTATTCATTATTATGTGAATATTCATTATTGTTTGTATTGTTATTACTATTTTGTATTTATTAATTTTCACCGTTACTCTCATTAAAATCACTATCATTAATATCAGTTTTATTTAATCATATATTATTATCATTATTGTTAGTTATCGTTACTCATTATTAGTTTAGTTTATCATTTAATATTATTGTTATCATCATATCATCAGTTATCAATTATTATTAATTCGTTATTTAATTCATATTACATTAATTACGCACTATGCTAAATCATATATGGCTCATCCAGTTATCACAATTATATCATTAATCATTATTCTTATTGTCATTATACCTTCATGATAATTATTGTCATACTATCGTATATCTTTCAATTATTAGTGCGATAGTATATTATGTATTATCATTAAAATATTTCCTATGCATTATTGATATCATACATTATTATAATCATTATGTTAATATCATATCATTATTGTTGTTATTCTATACATTGTATTGTTACTCTTATTATTTTTTTATTCAATTTTATCCATATTTATTAGGGGATTACGTTTACCATTTGTATTATCATTACTATCATTATGCATTAATCGTGTTATTGTCATCGTTCAATATCTACTGTGCTGTCTACGCAATTGATTTACATTGTACATTATCATCTATCATTACCACCATCATTATCATATCGTTATTCGTCATTTCTACTACTGCTACTGCTACGCTATCATCACCATTATAGCTACTACCTACTCCTCCTTTATCAGTGTTATATAATGAAGGAAAAATAACATTATTACCATACTTATCATGATCATTATTCTTATCATGAGCGTTATCAATTTCTTTATTTTCATCGTCATTGCTGTCACTATTCTTATGGTATTTTCTCTTTTGGTTATTCGTGGTTATCATAAGCATTAATTTGAATAATATCTGTATGTTTTGTTGTTTTATCCCTCTATTTGAATATCATTTAGATATCAATTATTCATGTTCATTATTGTATCTATATATCTTTATTATCATTTTTAATACTTTTATTGTAAAGTGATTTAAGTAATGATAATATATATGTTTCGTTGGTTTACATTTCTTTTTGAATATCATTTAAATATCAATTATTCCTTTAAATTATTGGAGTCAGTTACTGTATTTATATATCTTTATCTTTTTTTTCTTCTTTTTGAAAGTAACTTCAGTCATGTATATTTTTAAGATAATTTATTTTCAGTCATGCAATTACGTTAAGCGAAACAGCTGATGTTATTTTCCCGACCTGGACATAGTGGATTCAGAGCGCGACGCCGTAGTTTATGAATGATTCATTCATTAAACTTAATCACACAAGATCAACAAGAGCGAGATTTCTCCGTGTTTATTTTTTTTTCTTCGTTATTCTTTTTCTTTTCTTTCTCTGTGTGCGTTCCCGTTTACTTTTTCTTTCTGTTTTTGTTTTTTCTTTCTTTCTTTTTTTTTTTCTTTTTAGTGTGCGTGCGTTCCCGTTTACCTTTTCTTTCTGTTTTTTTTTCTTTTTTATTCTTTCTTTTTGTGCGTGTGGTTCCCATTTACCTTTTCTTTCTATTTTTTCTTTTTTTCTTTTTTTTCTTTCTTTTTTTGTATGTGTGTGCGTTCCCGTTTACCTTCCCTTTCTTTCTTTTTCTGTGTGTGTTCCCATTT